TGTGGAAAAAGTAAAAAAAAATAGCGTTAATTGATACTGCGGCTTTTAATCCGGTGCGGCTTTTGGTCGTGAAAATACGGTACTTCTATTTCTAATATATAGTGAAGCATTGCTAGTCATTTCTCTGCATTTATGTTGAAATAAAATGCCTACATCTATTACCCAACTCCCTTTTAACTAGCCTGTTTTCCTGAAAATAAGACCTCCCTGGATAAAAACCCCAATTGGGCTTTTGAATGCATGCGCAAAAATAAGCTGTCCCCCCAAAATAAGCCCTCCCCGAAAATATTGCAACACAGCAGCAGTCATGAGGTGACACGTTTGCTGTCTCTTGCACCTCAAAAATAATAAGACCTCCCCAAAATAAAGCCAAGTGCTTATTTCAAGGGTCAAAAGAAAATAAGGCCCTTGTCTTATTTTGGGGAAAACATGGTACTAGATTGTAGGATAGGAAAAAAGAAACAATAAACTTTTGTAATATTAACCTTCCCGCTAAACAGCATGTTTTCTAAATTGGCAAAGTACAACATGGGGCACTCAGGTAGACCTTGTTGCCCTTCAAATCTAGACTGCCACCCCACAAAATTGGCAGAAATAAATTGCTTTCTCTTTCAGCACTCAGGCTCTGTAATACATGGACTGTCAGGATTTTTATCCAGAATTACATCATAGGAAATACATATAAATTTAGTAAATAAATAAACCAACCTGACATTAAAATAGCAATTTCAGGTTAAAGGGGCCATCATTGTTGGGGTTTTGGGGTTTTTTGGGTTAGACTTCCTTCTGAAAGGAAGAGTATCACCCTGAACCTACACTCTATTTGTTGATGCTTATTTAATATTGAAGCTGTTTTCAATATCCTACCTTTCTTGATTTTGCTGATGTATCTCTTAACACCAGGACAAGCCAAACTAGCAGTCCAGATTCCATCATGAATCCATTGACCTCAACCTAAAGACCTGTGTTTGGAGTTTCCAAAGGATAACATCATTTTCTTTTGAGTTCTTTCCAGTTCCTTTGAATCCCAATGGAATCCCAATGGAAAACTGGAGGGGGCACATAACTAAGGCCTGATCTTGTAAGGAAGCAATTTTCTATTGCAAGAAAGAAGGTAGTCATATGTTGCTGCCTACTTTCTAGCTCCATTCCTGTCATTCCTAAAGTGATCAAAAGTTTGGAGACTAAACCATATGAAGAATGGCTACAGATTTTGGGTCTGGCTCAAAAGAAAAGAAGAATTAGGGTTGACATGATAGCAGTATTCCAGTATTTGAGGGGCTGCCACAAAGAAGAGGAGGTCAAATTATTCTCCAAAGCACCAGAGGACAGGACAAGAAATAATGGTTGGAAACTAATCAAAAAGCGAAACAACCTAAAATTGAGGAGAAACTTCATAACAATGAGGACAATTAACCAGTGGAACAGCTTGCCTTCGGAAATCATGGATGCTCCAACACAGGAGGTTTTTAAGAACAGACTGGACAGTCACTTGTCTGAGCTTACATCTATTACCAAACTTTAGACAACTAGTTAGGAAAACATGAAAAAGAATGAAGGTAAAGAAGAAAACACAAAGATGCATCATAATTCTATACCTTTAAATTTTAGATAGCAGAACATCCATTTTATCATTTCATCCCAAGATAGAATTTCACTAACAATAGTGAAAATCTATTGGGGAATAGTTATGACAGAGTATTTGAAAATGTAGACGTTTCCTTTCCTAAATAAGATCTAAGGAAAGGACAAATAGTATAAACTATGACCTAATATCCTTGAGTTAGCTGAAAGGAAATCAACTTCCTTCAGGAAGAAGTCATTTTAGATAAATAAAACGCTTTTCAACTCATGCATCTTCCTGATAAAAAATTATAATGTACTCAATATCCCATTCCTTCAAAACCACCCTGAACTAAATTCTATACCCCTGGAACCAAGATGAGATGGAATATTAATAGGAAACTAAATAGGGACGCCTCTCCCCTCCTATCCTGGAAAAAAACAAACTAATAGGATAATACATTCCAAAAAATATATATATTGTATGTAATACTATACAATCCTAACGTCATTCATGAATATGCAGTTTTAATACAAGGCAAGAAACTCACCAATAAAATCGGTTTGGTGTGATCCGTTCATGCATGATCTGCCATCTCCTTCCAAAATCCATAGAACTGTACAGCTGAAAGATATTAAGAATCAAATTTATTGAAACTGTAACTATGGCAGACTTAGTGTTAGTCCGCTGTAGCAAAGGCAATGACATATTTTACTATACTTTATCTCTTGCTAAATAGCTACACTTAAATGACCTTGGCTGATTTTCAAAAGATTAAATAGTGTTGTAGACTTGAATGGTAGGCTAGATTTTTTTTTTAAAATCAAGCAAATAAAGAACCAGAATGAAGTCTTATGGGGGTGGCGATGATGAAATTACTGTGAAACCAACTCCACTGTAAGGAAAATTGATATTTAAAAAGACTATGCAGATTGTGTGTGTGTGTGTGTGTGTGTGTGTGTGTGTGTGTGTGTGTGTTTAGGGAGAAAGAGAGAATACAAGTACAGTAGTACTGCTTTTTTCAGATCAACTAAGTGTTCTTTGTGAAGAGAATTGACTGGTTGAGTGAGAGTGACTGGCCCAAAGTCACTCAGTCAGGTTTCATGCCTCAGGTAGGACTAGAATTCATAGTCCCTTGGTTTTTACCCTGGTGCCTTAATCACTAGATTACACTGGCAAGAATAGATCTGCCATTTTCTTGCCATTTAATGGCAGGCTGGAAGTTGCACATGGATAATGTCGAAATAAATTTTTTGCTGAACTTCTTTTCTTGAAAATATTTTACTGCAGGAGTCAAACAGTATTTATATATATATATTTGAAATTTAATAATAAAGGTATTCCGACATTGTATTTAGAGCTTTCATTATTATAACTGATAGAGAGACAAATTGTTTCAAAAATGTATTACTATGTTCACAGTTGATAATCAACTCCCAATTTTATTAAATAAAATCCTGCTGATGTTCTGAATTTTATGTCCTATTCATCTCATCTGGTGTGAAACCAAACTGATATTAAACTATAAGTACTCAGTTTTTTCAGGCCAAACAAAGAAAGCAGTATCAGCAATCATAGAAAGTATTAAAATAAAATTAGCTATAAATGTAATCAGAAAAAGAATATTACCAGGGAAACATATAAAATCTGGACACAAAACTAGAAACTTAGAATGACTATCTTACATCTTAACAGAAGTACTTGTAATGTAGGGCCCACTCTACAATTAGTTACAGTAAGACAAATATTATATCATCAAATATACTTTCTTTTAATTCCCTGTATACAGTATATACTTCTGGAATTTTCTGTTTGATATATCAGATGTTGATATTAACCACTTTTACTAGCTAGTGCAATGCTTTGGATCAGCCTTACAGTCTTGGTTATAATACTCTTCTGAGGAAATCATAATTACTAATCATAATTAGGAATTACACCTTTGCTTTTGTTTCTAGTTGGTTGGAAATTATTTTGTTACTTTCAAGCATGGTGAAAGAACTTAGTCAATATGTTTGAATTTATCCTGCATTTATTTTGAATTTGTTTGAAATGTTAATACATTTTGGATTTAAACAGTGATATATTTGATGTAAGTTTCTTTTGTTGCTGACGGTATGATACAATTGTGTTTTAATGACTTTTCAAATATGTTTATTACTAGTTGTTGTTAGCTGGAAATGTGATGTATAAGCTTTAAAAGTAAAGTAAAATAAGATACCAATTATACTATATCTGGGAATATTCCAATATTATTCTAACAGAATAGATGCTATTTATAATGTGTGAAAGAAAGAACACACAAGTAGAAATGGCAGAAAAACAAAACACAAGTTTATAGCCTCCATAGCAACACTGGTGCTAAAAAATTAAATGCTTTGATAGCGATTCACCAGAATATATCAGAGAATGCCAGAATGTCTCTATAGGCACAGCTAAAAGCAACCCCCTCCAACCTTCCATCCTTCTTATAGGCACACATTCGAATTCCATTATGTACTTTCCAAGCATGTTTTATTAAAAAGCAAAACAGGGAGAAGGCACAGTATCCCCCAAAACACTGACAACATTATGGAATATACACCCAGTTGTGTGTGATAATGTAGTTGTCATCTAGCCAAACATAGCAGTGTTTGAAGAAAAACTAAAAGCCCATCTACATAGTTTCCTTGTCCCAGCACTGCATTCAACAGATAAATTGCTAAATAAGCGTTCTTGAAAAAATTAAAAAAGGGATCTAGCTATGTAGGTGTGTATAGGTAAGGCTTACTATATTTTTTCTTCAATTATTTTATAGATTAAAGTTAAATTAATAAATCAGAATAAAAATAGTTATATTTCAGTAAAGTATGAATAACGTAATTAAAATGAACTTCAAAATGTGGTAAATAAAGTGACTGCAGAAGTCAGGTCCAGTGTCCCTTGAAACCAGCAAATGTGAAATGCAAATCAGTCAACCTACTGAAAACACTTACACAAACACACAATATATACCTGATAATTAATATATGCAGCCCGTGGCTGAATATAAAGAAATGGTGCCAAAGCAATTCTCCTGCATCAGTTGGATAAACCTCCTTCTCTATCCTAAATAATCCACAAGGAACATTATGCCTAAACAGCATGTTCAGACTGGAATACCTAATGCCATCTTCAGGATGACTTATGCTAGAGATAATATCTGGAGGAATGTCCTTGGCAAATGATTGTAGCAAATAGGCTTCCAGAGAGTTGAAAGCAAGAACTCTTCAAGAAATGCACAACCATGTTGACTTGCATGTATCTTGGGAAAAAAGCCCATCACATAGAACTAATCTATAGAATTATAAATGATAAAATTGAAAATCCATAAAGCTAATACCCTTGTTACCTAAATTTGCTAATAAGATGAAAAACTAAATAGCCCATCAAACTTTAATAACCACCATTCTGTATATTTATTCACCATGGCTTCCAAGAACTACAACTGCCCAGCCTCAATTTCCATTGTTATTGAATAAGGATGGTGGATATATGTTTGGGCAAAAATGCTCAAAAACTCACCCAAATAAAAAAAAATTAGTTTAGAGTCAAGACCGAGCGAATGCACAGGGTGAATGCTATGGTCAAAAATATCTTGCTCAAAAGGAAAAGATAGTGAACGCTTACGCTTGTGTGGGAAGGGAAAAATTCTTCATGTATCACTGGAAAGAAACAATCAATTGTTGTGGTCTTCTTCTTTTCTACAAAGGACTAGAGCAAGTGCATTTTATTTGAGTTGAGTTTTTATCCATTAAAAAAAAGGTTTCCTGTTATGAAGCATTAATCCTTTCATTGGAGTTAATCATATGCCCCACAATTTCAGTACTTGTTCAGAAGCATTCTGTCGATCTTTGTGGGAACTCAGCAATGCTGATGGTTGTGAAGGAGGAATATTTTTTTAAAATAAATAAATAAATTTTGATTTCAGAATGATTCATGGTAGATGGATTAAACTGTATAGTTTTTAGGTAGATTTACAGAAAGAGTTAAGGAGGAGATTTGTTTGATAGTACTGGATTTCTTTCCTTCCATTCTAGCAGTCACCTATGAATTTCTATGGAAATTAGATGATCAAGAAAAGCAGCTGTTATACTGTGGTATTCTTAAGAGGGAGAGAAAGAAGCTCCCTTTGGTTCAACACAGCCTGCACACTATTAATCATGCATGCAAACAGAAAGGTCAATTACACATTATTTAAAGTAAACCCATAAACGAAAGGGTTTTTTGAGCATAAAAGTGGCATGCTCTTGCATGTGGGACCCAGAGGAGATGTCAAATGCAGCCAAGAGAAATAAAGTCATTTGCAATCAGTCACTATGCAGGGTGAAGGAAAGCAAGCTGGTTTGTTATGATTTGTGTGTATCATTTTGATATGATGTTTTTCTGGTGTCTTTCAAGATGACATTACAAATAATATATCATTCCAGGGATCAAATATGCAGATTTTTAAAATGTGCATAGACACACTACCACATGGAATAACATATGCTACTATAGCAGCATTTTCTCATTTTCCTTTTCAGCTCTATATACTGTCATCTTCTTATGTTCAGTCCTTGGAAGAAATAAGAAACTACTAAATAATAGATTCTAAATTCAAGGAAATGTATTATGCCACCGCACTGGGAAATATTTATATTAATTCACCTTACAGAAATATTATATTCTTTGCAATTGTATTAAGAAAATATGTAGTTAAGCCTTTTCATTTGACTTCAAGGTTTTATAATAAAAATAGAATGGAACATGTTGTAAATATAACATATCCAGAATAAGGAGTACAGTACAATATAGTACTGATTAACAGTATTAATATTTGGTAGGGGTAATACTTGGTAAATAGAATAATGAGACTATCTGGCAATTTAATTGAGATGATTGATGAAAGCAGAGTTTATATTTTCAGTATTCAAACCATTTATTGTAACTGGTTTGAAAAAGGGGATTTTAAAAAGAATATACCGGTTTTGAACTTACAGTTTCTGGTAATCAGAAATAAAACTATTCATAAAGATATTTTTATTTTTTAAAAATTGCAGTGATTAAAGGTTTTCATGACAGTTTTTTAAAAAAAATACTTTGTTTTTATTGTATATTAAACAAGGTGCCACTTTTTGAAGACTAAGGATGCAAATTATGGGATCTAGTTGAGTAATTATGAGTTCACAAGATTATTTTGATGTTCAATTTCCAAAGTTAAGATTTCCTGATCTCAAAAAGCCAAATGTAGCACTTGGAACTTCTTTCCAGTTTCTGCAAAAGCTCCAGCATGTGGTTATTTCAAGGATTGTAACTCTGATGCCTGAAACAGTCACAAGAAAGTATACTGGATTTAGTTAAAAAAATACATTTAAAAAAAAGATTCAGTATATTTTTTCTCATTTCTACTTTCCTGGCAAGAACCAGCAGAGTCTTGATTTCTTAGAAGTTCTAAAGATGGAACTTTCTGAAATGTCCACTGCAATTTACTCCCTTTTAAAGTTACCTTAGAGATATGTGATATATATTGAAATTGTGGACAGTAAAATAAAACAATGTAAATATAATGCTGAAATGTCCTAACATTCTAGAGACTAATTAACTGTAATTTGCTTTTCATGTTA